GGCAGGGGTGCCCTTTGGATTTTTGCGATCCCTAAACCCTACCTATAGTCTCCATTGTAGTTCCTTTTTGGGGATAACTTATACAATCCTTAATATATATATATATATAGTTGAACCAAGAAAAGAAAGACGATGGAGAATATAGGTAGGGCGTTAGGATTTCGGGTGTAGGGGTTCTAGGTTTAGGGGTTTAGGCGGTTTTGGGTTTAAGGCTTTAGGGCTTAAGAAGTTAGGGCTTGCGGTCAGCTTTCGGTTTCGGACTTCTAGACTAAACTCTGGCTTAGGGTTTAGGGGTTTAGGGCTTCGGGTGTCGGACTTTTCGGGTTTAGGGCTTGTTTTGACGGCTCTCACTGTGCTTAGTACCGGGCTTCTAGAAGGTTCCGACGCCAAGTCTGGCCGAAGGCTTCATGGATAGATTTAAATCTTGCCTACAATTCGCGCTGCGCCCTAGAACTTCAGGTTCACGAGCAACAGGATCTACTGTTTGGTGTCCCTGAGTTTTGTTTGACACTCCCATGCTTTGCGAGGTTATAGATGGATCGGCTCACAAGTACTTAGACAAACAGAGAAATTGGCACGTAGCTCGTTTTGGGGACATCTGGGGGCATATGGATACAGATCGACAGATGGATGCCCCAATATTCTTGTCTGAGCAGGTGAGGGAAGCTTGGGGACAAAGTCCACGGACGTAGATGGCCACACATGGCATCAGGAGACAGCTGAGGTAGCGGCCTTAATAATTAGAATAGAGTTTTGGGGATCCTTCGTACTATACTTATACCAAGGAGCCTTTTAAAGAAGTAGTAATGGCAACCATTGAGGCCCGTATATGAATCCGGGACCTGCTTTAACAGACTATCGGAGCTGGCGTTCCGATGAACCTGCTTTGCCTCGCACAGCTCAGGCCCGGACATGACGGACCCACGCCTTACTGCACAGGAGCTACTATAGGGGCCGTATGATAATTAGAATAGGGTTTGGGGCTCCTTTAAAGTATTATTACAATAAGGAACCGTCACAGAAATATTGGTAATTATTCAGGCTTCTATATGCTTCTATGTTAATATACTATGACCAGAAGGGCCGGATGACTGTGGTGCAATGTAACTTGAAAGCTCTGAAACCATCAACCCTAAACCATACATCCTTAAACCCTATATACCCTCAGCTCAATACCTTGAACCCTGGCTAGTCGGCAGGGATGTCGGGTGCCAAAGTTGGGGTTTAGACATCTATGTAAGTTAACTCGACGTCGTCCTGCTAGCTGATTCATCACCGCAATTCATGGACGAACGCACTATTGGCAGAAGATGAAAATATAGGACGTGTACCCAAAGATATGCCCAGGTGCCAGGTGCGCATTCGGGTGATGTATAAGCCCCAAACCCTAAGCCCTGATATTCTGATATACTTTGAAGACATCGCGTGCTTTCAAGGCCTATCGCAAGCAGAGTCCCGCGAGCAGACCTGCAGTTATCAATCTTGCCGAACCCTTCAACCCAAATAAAGGGGCCGAAGTACGAAGTGAGAGTGGCGTTTAGGGTTTAGGGTTTAGGGCTTCGAGACTTGGCAGTGCCTGGCTTGCGCAGGATTGCCGCAAAACCAGCAGCTCAGAGCGCCGCAGAAAAAACACTTTGGAGGCCAGCGATGTTGGGAGCCTCAGTACTTGGAGGATCATGGGACT